AACTTCTATTATAGGTTTATCTAAGCCTATAGATATATTTCCTATTTCCTGAATTATCTAATTAAAAGAAATACTCTATTAAAGTTTATATTTAATAAAACCTAATTAGATATCTTTAATTAGCTTAAGAATCTATTTCTCTCTATTTTTATATTTCTCTATTTTAAATATAATAGAGAAACCTGCCTGGAAACCAACTATTTAAACCTAGCTACTATAGGTATACTCTCTTAAAAAAGTCTAGAGAACGAATAATAATATCTAGTCTCATTCTATTCTAAAGCTTTTCGAGAAACCAAAAGCTATTATGAAATTTATAATAAAGAACTCCTTACTATTATCTAAGGACTCCGGGAATAGTAAATAGAACTAATTAGCTTATCTAATTTTCTAATTATTATTAATTATAAAGCTTTCGAGTATTTCGGTATTAAGAGGCCCTTAAATAAATAATAAATCTAATAGATGGGTTTCCTATTATAATTCTATTACTAGATTACTTATTAGCCGGATAAAGATAATACTATTACTAATATCTTATCCCGAAAGAATAATTTTATACTAATCCAGAAGTAGGCTAAGGAGGCTAAAAGAACTAGATAAGTTATTCTATTAGATCTAATTCTTACTTCTACTAAAATAAAAGATATAGCTTATACTCCTATTAAAATAGAAGAAATAGATAAGCTATTAGTTATAATTAAAGTCCTATAAGCTAATCGGACGGACCTAGTCCTAGAAAACAAGTATAAGAAAGCCCGGGAGAATATAGATCTATAGGAAATATTAAATAGCTATATACTTTATAATAAAAGACTTATTATACCGGATAGATATAATAATCTATAAACTAGGCTCCTGTAATAAATCTATAGTATAATAACTATTATATATTCCGGTCGAAATAAGATAAAAATCCTAGTTTAGAGACTCTACTAGTAGCCTATTCTTTCTATAAATATTAACTGTTTTATAGTAAACTACTATAAATATTAAAGGTTTTATAAGCCAAGAAATAAAATACTAGGCCTATTATACCTATTACCGGTTCTTCTAAGGATATGGGATGATTTGTCTATAGATTTCTATACTTCCGGCTCTATAAGTAAGAGATATAATAATATATTTATTATAGTTAATTAATTATCTAAATAATATATAAGCCTATTAATAACCAAGAATACTATAACTAGAACTACTACTAGCCTATTCTACTACTATATCTGGTAATTCCGAGAATCTTCTCTTATTATTACAAGTAACCGAGAACCCTAATTTATTTTAGATTTTATAAATAAACTATTAAAATTAACTAGAACCAAGCTAAAGCTCTTAACTACGGAATATACCTAAACTAATAGATAAATAGAAATTATTAACTATATTATTAATACCCGACTTTACTTCTTTATTAATTATTTCCAGAATAATTAGATAGATTTATTTCCGGTATTTAATACTATAAATACTACCTGCCTATATAAATTAACTGGCTTATTTCCTTTAATAGTTAATTACAGATATAAATTCAGGCTAAACTTTAACTAGATATTACTAATAATAGAGTTTAAAATACCGAGAAAGAAATTTAATTAGAAGGAAGTATAATAGTAGGCTAAGAGAATTAATACTACTATTAATTATATCCGAGAATATATAGTAATAGCTCAGGAGTATTAAGCCAAATAAGCTAATAAGAAATAATAAAAACTAGACTTTAGTCCAGGAAATATAGTCTATATAATTAAAAAGATATAGAAAACGGACTATCTATCTAATAAATTAGACTATTCCCTTATTAGATTATTTAAGATTAATAAAATAGTTAGCTATTTATATTAATTAGATCTTTCCTTATTATATAGGATTTGGCTAATTTTCTATATAGATAGACTTTATAAGAATCCTACTAATCTATTATCCGGTTAAACTAATAAAGAGCCTGGTTCTACTAAAGTTAATAGTAAACTCGAATAGGAAATCGAAAAGATCCTCTTTTCCAAGGTATTTTATAATAAGCTTTACTATAAAATTAAATAGAAGAAATAGGATATAGATAATAAATAGTACCTTATATTAAACTTTAAGAACTTAGTACTTAAATTATATAAATTCTATAAATAGAATCCCGGTAAAGTAGGACCTTCTATCCGGCTAAATAAATAAATTTGGTATACTAAAGAGAATAAGTTTAATAAAGACTATCTAAATAATAATAAATCTTAATAATAAGGTTTCTATAACTAGAGAAAAAGAAGAAAAACCTAGATATTTCCCGGGTTTTATCTAAATTCTAGTATATTTCTTTTATTCTACTATATTAATATCTATTCTCTTTTCTAGAAATCTGGATAAAATATCTTCTTTTATTATACTAGATTATATTCTGCTATCTAAGTAAATTATAAAAAAAAAAGTGAATTCTTAAAGCTAAGCTAAAAATAAATACTTGCCTATATTAGTTCGAAATATTATTAAAAATCGAGAGAAATCTTCTTAATTACTTTAATCTTTATAATCTTAACTATTTATACTACTACTACTGCCTTAATAGAACTATTAATAAAAACGAAATAGATAAGAAATCCCGGTAATATATTATCTATAGCCGGACTAAATAAGGTAGCTTACTAGATCCTAAATAACTTGAATAATAATAGTAGTATTTTAAGTTTAGTAACTACTATTATTATTAATATAACTATTAGCTAAATTATCTTTATAAACGAAAATAGTAATTCTCTTATCTAAGAACAGGTTAATATATAGAATATAGCCTATATTACTCTTAAGAATATATCTGAAATTACTATAGAGGATATCTTAGTAGAAAGTTCTAAGGATAATAAAATAAAGGTTTTAGTTACTAGTAATAATAAGCCTAATAGTCTAATAGGTAGAATAAATAGTACTAATAAAGGCTTTCTTATTAATCTTATAGAGCCAAATACTAAAAGAGTTAAAAAGAATAAGGCTAGCTTATCTAAGAAATATAAGGTATTAGATAATAGCAAGAATTTTAATAATGAAAAGACTAAGAATAAAGAGACTTCTAGTAATAAAAAAGACTCTAACTATAATAAAGGTAGCCAAACTAGTATTAAAATACCTATTATAATTAGAAGATATATAGTACTAAATACTAGTTATTATATAAAGTACTAGTCTAAAACCAAAAGCTGGAAAATAATCCTAAATACCGAATTAAAGAAGTAATACCCTATAGATATTAACGAATTAGTAAATAATACCGTTTAAGAAGTCGGAAAACCCCTTAGAAGCTCCTATAAAACCAAAATTATATAGCTCAAGGCCCGGGAATTTAATAATAAAGTAGCTCAAGTAGCCGCCCTTAATATATAAGTTTCTATTATAGAGGAATAACTTGAGGATATATATATTAAGCTCGAGAAAGCCCAGAAGTTAATTAAGTAGCTCAAAAACGGTATAATTAAGCCAAATACTACTACCCTAACCAAGAAGAAAGGTAAGCAAGCTACTATATCGAAGCCTGTATTAACGGATAGACTTGATCTGCCACCCCTATTCGAAGACCGCCCGATAATAATAGTCCTAATATTGGCTATAGCCTATATAGTACTCCTAGACCATATTATTAATATGGGTATAGGCATAATACAAGTAATAGATACTAAGGACTAGCCGGAATATACTAGGAACTAGGTTATTCTGGTAGAGTTAAGACCATACTTCGATTATAAATAAGCTATAGGAATTAGACGGAATAGGATTAATGGCCGTTATTTCCTCTTTTTTCTTTTCTATATTACGGCTGAATAATCCCCTAAATAAGGGCATTTAGACTTCTTTTTGGGAGGGGGATAATATAACGGCTAGTATAAGGGTATAATCTGCCAAGGACAGGATATCGGAAACAGGTATAAAATAAAGCTAAGCCAGGATTGCTTGGACGGAATAATACTAAAGATCGAGGCATCCTCCCTACTTTGTTCTATAGCTTAGTATTTTCCAATATATAAGATTCTTTGAACTTTGAGCCTTCGACTATTGTATTGATCCTGCCGTTACAAAAAGAATATATTTAGAAAGGCTATATAAAGATTACTAGTAACGGGAGTAAGGAAGCTACTTAATAAGTAATTAATTAAGTATACGGGATTCTTATTAGTTAGCCCTTTCCTACTACCCAAATTTTCCGAACGAGGGGTAATTTTCTTGAAAACGCTGCCGCTTGCAGTAGCGTTTATTTTACCTTGCGAATATTGAAAGTTCGGTCTTTACAGGGCAAAAAAAAACGCTACCGCCAGCGGTAGCGTTTTCAATAGCAGGGTAAGTCGTAGTTTATTATTATTATTTGAGATAACTCGCCCGCAACGAGGTATTTCCTTGAACGGAGAACGAGGAGCTACTATTAGTATATTATACTACAACTCTACTAATTTTTTCTACAAGAAAAATGCTCGTTGTTATCGTAATAATTAATCAAAGGGGTCTTGCGATCGGGCGCACGCTTCACTCGGGCGGTGAGGGATGTGCGCGCTAGCCGCATCTGGGGCGCAGGTGCGGCAGCGTTTTTTTTTGCGGTGATAATCTTACATTCAATCCTTCAAGCGAGCATGATAATCATTATAATCATTTGCTACAATCTCTTTTCTTGCTTATTTTTGCCATTAGTGTTTCAAGCAAGACTTATGAATGAACATAATGTACCTTATTAATTCATACGGCGCGCGTGCCGTTTGCTGTAAGGGAGGAGGGGAGAGAGCTAGAAGCGCTGGAAACATGTGAGAGCTTTTATGTCTAGGGAGAAATGGAAGGCGGTGGTCTGATATGGCCTGGTGAGACATAGGCTTTCACGCTCATGTAGGTGAAGGCATTAAAACCGGTTTTGAAGCCAAGAATGAGTAGGCCTGGGACTACGAGGAAGAGCTGAAGGCATTAATAGAGGCTTGTAATTGAACTGTCTTTCTCCAAGCATCCAGCTACCTAGCATATTCGAGATAGGGACATCAACATTCTCAATTTCGGGCTAGACCTCCTTTGACACCATTGGATACAGACACTTTCTCTAAAATAGGAAAGACCTTGGCGGCGCGAGCGGGCAGCGATTCAAGATAAGAACGCCACTCTTCTTTGCAACCAACACACAGCTCTACTCCACCAAACTGTTCAGAAGCCTGAGCACCGTACGAGAGCTTATAACGATAAGCACACTTGCCGCAAAATCCTTCGTTTCCACCTTCCAGCATATCTGCAAGTCCTTCGATCAGCAATGTGTTGCTCCCGGCTATCACCTTTCTGTACCGTGCGCTCTGAGCAGATGCACTCGGCATCTCAGTAGCGTCAACTCTATTCCAGAGCTTTACATTCTGGCGTGTTTGAGCTACCACCTCTTCAGTTTCTGACCTCCCAATCATCAAACCGTCTTCGACAAATCGGTACCGTCGCATCATTATATGAATGGGGCCGCCGAAGGAGCGCAAGAAATTGGTCACGCATAGGTGCCCGGGACTATGTGCCCATGCAACGTCCAAACTCCAGAGGACTTCTCGGCTTCTGCGAAAACACTCTTTTCGCATCTTATAATCGGCGTAGGCGAAGGTGCTGTTAGTTTCTCCTTCGGCTCGATGCTTGTGAAAGGCAACAGCGTCATAGAGAGTGATGCCAACTTCGGAAAGTATCTCAAACTCGGCGTCGGTGAACCACACTTCATCGAAATCATTGCATGCCAGTGCTGCTGCCATGGAATAACGCGCAAGCGCATCAGAATCGCGAAGTCGAAACCACTCTCTCGGCGATCGAGCAAGTGAGTTCACATACCGGCGGAAGAGATCTGATTCCCGCCTGTCGCTGGACTTTTCTGCACTGAAGAGCAGAAAAGCTCGAAAGTGGCGAGCCATCTCATCGCGGCCTGGCGTCCCGGCAAAGAGGGTATCAAGTATCTCGACGAGGTTGTAACCAAGGAGATTGTTGCCAGCGGCTATATCCACAAGACTCCCACGGAACTCAGCAATAATCCCTATTATGACGGTTCGTGTGAATGCAATGTAGCGGTCCCAATTGGTGTAGTGAGGTATGATGCACCGCGTATACTCCCAGCCACAGGTCAATGCTTCTTCAATGAATTCAGGAGGAAGATCGACGCCTTGAAGATCATTCTTGATCTCAATTGGATAGTACCAATTGTCTAGAGGCGATAGGTTTTCCACCGCGAGATTTCTCCCTTGATTGTCCAACTTCAAAGTTTCAGTCAGGATAGCTGATGCGTCACCTCCGAGACCAGCGGCCTGGGTCGGAATATCGGACACAGTCGGCATTATTGTCAAAATACTGTGGCTTGTGCGTATGATGTAGGTAATATGTAACACTTGCAGGGAAAAGATCGAGAGAGAGAGGGTGTGTGCCGGACTGCAGACAACTCAAGACTAAGCTTATTATCTGAAGTTGATAGATTTTAATTCCTTCACTCTATGCTTGCACTTTGCTCCCTTTTATGATACGAACCTAGCCCTTCAAATCTTGGTTTCGATAAAGCGGCGTGGATATACCAACACTGCTTGCTGTGTTCGCAATGAAAGATCAAATACCCCCAAGCGGCACGGAGCCCCGTACGGGTATATACCCGTTCGTACCTTCCACTTAGGGATGCACGATTTCTAATTATTATGATTATATAATAATCAAGTTGTCAAATATGTATTTCATAACGCACTATATAAAAGAGTATATAAATTATGCATAATTCGTTACGTGGAAGGTAGTAAATTTATAGATTTGACCATTGGGAGGAATACGAAATCGCTAGTCAAATGGAGGCTTCGAATTAGCTAAGGTCACATGATACCTCATATGCAAGATAATATTACTATAATTAAGTCGGAGTGATTATATTACTATATTACGAATTCAAGTCCTAAATTATATAATTTTAGCATCCCTACTTCCACTAGTTACCACTGGTGGTTCATGAAAGCAACTTGGCCACACGAGCAACTTCGCCAAGTATTTTACATAGTAAATTTATATAGGAGGCACTTCTTTCTAGCTGCACTAGCTGGTCCGTGCCATGGAATTTAGCACACTAATTTTGTTGGTGGCCAAGTTGCCCGTGTGGCCAGGTTGCTTCCACGAACCACTAGTCGTAACTAATGGAGGTATGGACGTGTAACCCTACCAGGCTACACAGGGGGCTTATCCGCTTGTGCTAGACCGTGCACTTCTAAGCGAGTAAATCTAGCAAATCAGAGAGCAAAAATTCCATGTTAAGCGTTCTAATTTGCTGGGATTTGGCGTTTCTCCGCTACGCTGGGACTGTATTTTTGGGAGGGTTCAGGCTCAATTCTCCCCGTGATGCGAGAGCGAGCTCCACATCTGCCGTGAGCTTGCGTATCCTCCGACCGGGGATGCTAAAATCATATTATTTGGGACTTGAATACGTAATATTGTAATATAATCACTCGGACTTGATTATGGCCATATTATCTAACATATGAGATATCATGTGATCTTAGCTAATCAGAAGCCACCTTTTAACTGGGTATTGCTCCCTAATAATCAAATCCATTAATTTACTCCCTTCCATGTGACAAATTATGCACGACTTATATACTCTTTTATACAGTGCGTTATGAAATACGTATTTGACAACTATATAATCATGCCGGACTTTATTATTATATATTGGTAATAATTACAAATCGTACATCCCTACCTCCAACATGCAGAGCCAAACGTGCACCAACTGCAGCCAATAGTGTCATGCAGGATAACGTGGGAAGCAAGATAGGAAATAAGTTTAAGCGGGGATTTTCCGGCCAGATAGAATTAGTGGCGTCCCGGGATTTCTCAAGGAGACCAGGTCAATTATTGACGAAACCTCTGTTCTGCTTTGCTAACGTTGCAATTCTCTGTTAGAACTTTAGCCCCTGATTCAAATCTTAATACTCAAACTTGACACTTTTGTTTGAGACCACAACGGCAAATGCAAACCTGTAAGAATATGAAGCCATCCACTCAAGGAGTGAACAATTGATCAACCACAAAAATCAAGGCACTAGCTCGTAAAACTCTTTTCCAATAACAACGATATATCCATTTGATGCGATAGGCCGCGAATGCGGAATGCACGGACAGGTGGCTAATGCAATCCTTCGCCCGTCCACCCCAAGCAAGATCGAAATGCCCACATGCGGCACAACAACTGCATTTGCCGGATGCTGCTTTACTAGATTTTTCCCGGATCTCCATCGCCGGTAGCTGTTCATCAAATATCTCCAGTGTAGCTTGCCTTCCTAAAGTTATTCAACATTATAACAGGTTCAGTTTGCTTCGACTTGGCACCTATATCTTCGAGTTATCAACGTTATCGCACTTACTCCTGAAACTTTATTTCGAGCAAGAATGATTCTCGCCACAGCCTCAGATAATTGGCAACTATGCACAGCAGTCTTTCTCGTATTATGGCTCGGATATGTCGTCGTCCGTCGTCGGTACTTCCACCCCCTATCAAAAGTCCCTGGACCATTGCTCTGGTCACTTTCCAGTCTACCTATTCTCTACCACCAAGCTCTCAGAGAAGGGAAACTCATCCACGTTCTTCCCAAACTGCATGAGCGTTACGGTACTGTCACCATTTTTGCCAACCCTACCTTCCTTAAAAAAAAAGATATATCAACACCTCAGCTCTGCTCCGACAACAAAGTTAACAAAGCTCCAGGTCCAATAATCCGCATCTCCCCAAACGAAATTCACCTCAATGACCCGGCAAACTACGACAAAATATATAACGTCCTCAGCAAATTCACCAAAGACCCCTCTTTCTACGGCCCCATCGAAGGGCCAGTCCGAACACCCGTAATCCTAACCGTGATATCCAACGAGGCCCACCGAGCGCGCCGCTCAGCCCTCAATCCCTTCTTCTCGCGACGCTCAGTCCTAGATCTCGAGACCGTTGTACGCTCTAAATCTTTGCTGTTCTGCGAAATTCTTTCTTCCGCTCTCTCCAAGGACGAGATTGATCTTGAGCATGAGAGTAAGGATAAGAAGAAAGCATTCAATGCCCACGGCGCAATAAGAGCCTTTGCTACAGACGTTATTACTGAATATGCATATGCAAACTGCTGGAATTTTCTCGATGAGGAAGATTTCGGGGCTTGGTATCCGAGGGCGATTCGTGCTGTGCAGACCATGTTTGTTTGGTTCCAGACGTTCCCGAGATTGATTCCAGTTTTTGGGTGGGTTCCGGATCGGGTTAATATGTTGCTGTTTCCGCCTTTTAGGAAGTGGTTTGAGAGTCTTGATGTTAGTATTTCACTTGTGTCTTGTTCCCTCCTTCCTCGATTTCCCCCTTACTCTTTTGATTTTCCTTTTAAATGAAAAGTTGGTTTTACACGTGAGGCAAGGGTATTTCTAACCATATATGTGACTACCACTAGGTGATCCGAAATTTCATTAAGGAAGTACGCCGCGAAATCGATGATGAGGTCAAGCCCGAACGGCGAACCATCTTTCATGACCTGATAGATCCCCCTCTCGAATCAACCGGTAAGAAGCGACAGAAACTGTCCGACGAAGCCGTGTTCGCAGATGCCGTCGTTCTGACAGGAGCGGGTGTTGAAACAACCGGTGCCACTGCTGAACGAGCAATCTACGAAGTAATCAGCAATCCGGTTATATATAAGACGCTGGTGAAGGAGCTACGAGATGCATTTCCGGACGCTGAGAACATGACTTTGATGGCTTTGGAAGCACTTCCTTATTTGAGTGCTGTTATTAAGGAATCTTTGAGGTGAGTCATTCGTAGCATATTCCGAGTTTTCATTGGATTGTTATAGCCAGTTTCCACTTCTCAAGAAATTCCCGCCAACGGAGTCCAGAATCAACCCAGGTACACCAGGCCACCTTCCCCGCGTTGTCCCTCCGGGCGGCGCAACATTCAACAACATCTCCCTCCCCCCAGGGACAGTGGTGAGCATGAGCATCTGGCTCATGCACCACGACCCCGTTGCCTTTCCTAATCCCGAGACATTTGATCCTAACCGCTGGCTTGGCTCAGAGGACGAGGTTCGCGATCGTGAGCGGTGTCTTGTTCCATTCAGCAGAGGAAGTCGTAATTGCGTGGGAAAGAATCTCGCTATGAGTGAGCTGTACTTTTTAATTGGGACTGTGTTTTGCCGGTTTGATGATCTAGAGGTGCATCCTGATTTTGGAAAAGAGGATTTGGAGATGGTGGAGTTGCTTGTGGGGTATCGTCCGAGGAAGGCGAGGAAGTTTCGGGTTGTTAGAAATGGTGGGGAGTGAGGTTTGTGAGCTTCCTCGGTTATAATTCGAAAGGAGCAAATAAACTTATTACTTAATAAATACAAAATCAAAAAAGCGGTCCTAATTTCTATCTAGGCAGCGAGAGCTATTTCAATCCAGAATTCCCTCTTATAATATAGTAAGTCTAGTATAAGCTCTATAATACTTTTATTTTATATATTATTTAGTAATTAATTACTTAGCAAGTATTTAATTATTAAATAAAGAATATACTTTCGAGTTTTCTTAATTTCCGTAGCTTAAAAGAAAGAAGTTTTATAATTTTTCTTAGTTATATTTTAGTTTCTAATATATATATTTAAAGGCTGTATTTCTTATTTCTTTATAATTATTTAAAGTATATTCTTATAATTTATAATTTATATAATAAATAAACCCTTATATTATTATAAGTAGTTTTCTTTTTATATCTTATAAGTAATTTTAATATTTCTTTAATTATTATAATATAATAAGTTGTATTTTATAAAAATTACATTATTTTAATAATTATATAATTAAAAACTTATTTACTATTATATAACTTAGAAGTAATATATAAGAAAGTTAGTCTTTTTTATAATTTTCTTTATTTATTAATTAATTAATATTATAAAACTTAGTTTTAAGCTTGAAAAATAAAGTAAAATAGCTCTGATTTTAATAATACTAAACTAAAGAAAGAAGTATATATAAGTATATAAAGAAATTTACTTGTAATTAAAATAATAATCTTATAAAGTTTTAAGAAATCTTTATAAAGCAAATAATAAAATTTAATAAGTTTAAGAAAAACCAAATTATTATAATACCTTTTATTTAAGGCTGAAATATTCAAGATATATAAGTATTAATCTCGGGTATTACTTTAATTTAAATACTAATTAGTAGTAAAATATAATAAATATTATAGTATATAAAAGTAATAAAAAATAAAAGCTAATTATAAAAATTAAAAAAAGTAAGGAAATAGTATAAAAAATTATATTAAGATAATATAAGTTGGTATTTTAGTTAAAAACAAATATTAGCGCCCGAAAATAAGCTTATATCATTAATTTATATATTAATTTTAATTATATTAAGAACTAAAATAAAGGTAGCTTAGATTTTAGTAATAAAGATTACTCCTAAGACTAAAGAAAATACGCAACTTTGGAAATGCTATTAATTTTAAGTAAAATAGTAACTAGAAATTAAAGAAAAGTTGAAAACAAGAAATTATATAAAAAAAAAATGAAAATCCTTCATTAAAGCTTGCGCTGGCCAAGGGATAGATTTCGGCTCGCAGCTTTTCTTCTAACTGTTTTCGTGCAAGCCTGTCCAGTTCGGATTGCTGCTCGAGCATAGCTAGTTTGACAGATAGCACATGTAGCTGCGTGTTGTCTTCCATGATGCTAGAATTTGCTACTTGTTTGCGGGACGTCGAAGCATAATCGTGCTCGTAATCCCCCTTTCCGTGATTGCGAACGTCATCTCGTGGTTTTCAAATGGCGTGTCCACCACCATAGTTGCAGGAGTTGAGACGCAGCTTTCAGCCAAAGGCGTCGCACTGGATGCCTGCTCTGAGGCGGAGCGGTCAGTGAAGCAGTGCTGCCCAAGGGCTCTTCGGAATCCGGGACACAATCCTTAGTTATGCAGAGCTAACTGAGATCCCAATGGAATGAATGCAGACAAAGTAATTTCTCGATGCTAACGGCGATGGTTAAAAATATATTCCATCAAGGCAGGTCACGAACTGGGTTTACCAGAGATTTCTTAGAGCTCGTCCGTCACAGTCTCAGATTTCATGGCAACATATGCACATCAATCACTCTAAAACGAGCGACGTCAGGCCTATCTTTCTCTGCCACCACAATGCCGCATCCACCGGATTGAGGGTAGTGTATTCTTAGGTGCCAGAATGGCCTGCGGTGATGTCTAGCCTCCCAGTCTCGTGCCGTCCTCGCTGCGCATTCAGATTGCTGTTGCATCACTGTGATTGGCAGACGAGGAAACAGACTGCAGCGGCCGAATGCTGGTAACTGCAAGAATTCAATATTGGGCTCTTGCTCTGTGCTGGCTGAGACACTGCAGTAGCGACTGATTCGACATGAGCAGATTCCGAGACTTTTCGTGTAGAAGCTGAATAATAGTCAAGCATGCTTCCCCCCTTGTCAGCTACTCCTTCGACATTGTCCCCGCCATATGTGGAACATCCCAACCTGCAGGATTTTATTGTACCGGTAGCGTATCGACCGACCATTCAGGAGCGCCTGATTCCATTATACTTGCTGACTTGCTGCAAATAGGTCCCTGGTCCTCAGAATGTCCCTCGCCCACGCAGAACCACGACTAGCAGCAACAAAACACCTCCCCTTTGTCTTTAATAGCAGCCGACACCTCCCAGCTCTCTACCAACCAGAACTAAACAAGCTCTCATTGTCAGCCGTCAGGCAAAGGGCATCTGTCTTTCGGAACGGGTCAACCTCAATGCCTATTTGGACCTCCTCCATCGACATCCGATGAAGCGCCGGTATATCTTCGGCACGAGGGAAAGGGGGGTGGCACGAGCGTCTGCGGCCGCAGGGGTTAGGGGTTGAATCTTTGGCTTAGGATTCATTGCTCTGGAAGAATGTTGGACATTGATAGGAGCTGGACGAGAATTGTTTCAAGGGGAAGTTGTACAGTTGAGAGGGGGCATGGAGGAACTTGTTCCAGAGAGCAGGAGTACATTTCTAAGTCAACACATGGCATTGTCGGCGAAAGGCCGGATAGGGTTAGAAACACGAAGGCTGCATTGCACATAGAGTACGAGATACATTGAGATAAAGGGGATATCACGATGTAGATAGCCTCCGAGGGACAACGAGGTTAGCACCACCATGAAGGCGATACCACAAGGTACGAGACCCACGGTGCTAAGGGATCCTCACAATATACAAAAACTACGAGCTGCAATGAATTACGGTATCGTGACAATATTGTATTGACTGAAAAGCTCCTTCCAAAGAGCCTGTACTAGTACACGTTGATATGATTTTCTCTTCTCCTCCATGATATGCCATCTCCCTTCTCCCTCACGCGTCGTAAATATCATCCATGTCCTCCTCAATCTGGGGAGGAACATACACTTGATTCTCTTCTTCCTCCTCGCCTTCCTCCTCAATTTCCTTCATCTCCTCGTCTTGCTCCTCTACATCCTCCTCTCCTTCCTCCTCAACATCCTTCATCTCCTCGTCTTGCTCCTCTACATCCTCCATCACCTTGTTCTTCTCTCCAGCCAATCTTGTCTTTGCTGCTTCCTTTGCTGCCTTCGCTGCTTTCCGTTGCTGCTCTTTATCCCACATATACAAAGCCCTATCTCTAATCCAACCGCTATCCCTCATATCATCCAAGCGATCCTTGACCTTCTCCAACTGCCTCATGAGTGTTGATTCAACAGACCGAAACTTGTCCTTCCACTCCTCCATGCTGCATCCGTTGGGAGGGCTACCTCTGCAATCCTTGTTGGTGAGGTGACCCTCTCGTGGTCCTTTCTTCGCCTTGGTTCCGGTTGGCACAAAACCTGTATCGGGGAAATCTATGCCTCGAACTGGGAATTTTGGGCCGTTATGGTTTCTCTTTGTAGTACCTTTGGGCTTGGAAATGGTCTTGGGTACTTGAGAAGGCGAAGGCTTTGTGACGAGTGGCTTTTTCGGTGCTGCTGGCTTAGCTTTCTTGACTGGCTTTGCCTTGGGAGTCGGTGGCTTGTTTCGGTTGTTCGAGGTCGAGGCCGGACATTGAAGGTCAGCTTCTGGACTGGCAGACTTCGGTGGTGGAGAAGAGGATGGTCGGCGTTTTAATTCATCCTCACTCTCGATGTCGGACTCAACTGGGAGGATCTTTCTGCCCGGGGGTGGTCGAGAGACATGTAGAGGAGGATCGGTAGGGCTGCGAGTGAGGATGCATTGGACTGCGTCGTTGGGGATTGTCAAGCCAGAATGAGGGTCGACTGTAGCAGGTGCGGGGGCGTTGGGTAGTGCGTCCAGACCGTCGGACGATTCTACATCGTTGGGTGGGACCTCCGGGCTGTTGTCGCTCGACATTATGGCTTCTTGAGTGTACCACGTAGATCTGGGACAATTGAGGTCGTTGTCTTGAGGCAGTTGTGGGTTGTGTCAAGGCGTCGAGGGTTGAATTTTTCTCGATCTCGGATTTAGAATAAACGACCAAACCGCGCTAGTCCCGAATCGCGCCAGCACAACCCCATTGTTCTCACTCTCTTCAGTACATCCTCCAGATCCCAAGGAAGATATACTCGGCTTACCTTTTTTTATACACACAATTTTTTGATTTTTTGTGTAGCTTCAAACTTACCACCCATTCCTTTTGATTGCTTGACAGAAAATTTACTATTGCTGTATATGAATTTGCCTCTGTAATATTTGGATTAACTCTCATCTAAAGTCCAAGGCGCTTGGTTGGCTTTTATCTGTTAAGTGTTGAAGGAGAGTTTTGCCCCTGAATGCGGCCGCATTGGTCATGTTGACTTCAAGGCGAACGCTCATTGGCCTACGAAGCGATCCTGCTTGGTCCGAGCGTTTCACCCCTTTTCAGCGAAAGACTGGACGAATGAATTCAGACTGTCCCGCAAAACGGAGGTAAAATGATTTACATTGATCTGCATTAATTTCAAATGACATGCAGCTCTGGGATATTAGAAAATAGTTCCCAAAATGAGCTAGTGCTGGCCCAAGCGTCCGCCCCCGTTTCCTGGCTGCAGTCTGGACAATTGGTGCAGAATGTCCTGCCAAAGGCTAGTACAATAGTTTATGCTAATTTTGAATATCCCTTATTAGTTCGGAATAATAGAAATTGGTTCCTGAAAAACATAGCACTGACTCCAGCATTTCACCCCCCTTTCAGCCGAAAACTGGACGGATGACCTCCGATTGTCCCACTAAAGGGTGGTACACTGATTTACCTTGTTTCTGAATATCCCTTCGCTCTCTGGAACAACCATAATTGGAGCAGATAGGTTAGATACGTTTACTTAGAATGTCCTACCAAAGCCTGGCACAATGATTTATGTCGACGCTGAATGACCCTGAGCTCTCTGGAACAATGGGAGCGAAGCAAACTAGACGAATGAACTCTGAATGTTCTACAAAGGCGAGTGCATTGATGTACCTCAATTCTGAGTGCCCTTCAGGTTTTTAAAACAATGAATCTGGAGTAGCTGGGACGAATTGACACAGAAAGTTCTGCCAGAGGCTAGTGCAATGGTTCATATTGATTCAGGATGTCCCTTAGGTTTCTGAAACAATGAAAGTAGAGCATACTGGACCAAAAAAATTATTAATGTATTATTGAGGGCTGGTACAATAACTCACATTCATTTTGAATGTCTCCTACTAATTTGGAGTATAAAGGGGTTCTTGGAAAAAAGATGGAGCCGGCCCCAGCACCTGAGTCCCAGATGAGAGAAGGTGGAGCAACTTTAGTATTCTATTTTTGTGGTCGCATTGCATTGGAATGCACAAGGATGACTTGGACCAATAGATGAGCCGCTTGTATGTTGAACACCTGACGAAGTTTGCCAGGGCGCCTTCCCTTTCCAGTAGCAGAATGGATTAATGTTCAGCAAATGGCTGGTACAGTGAGTTTCAATGAAACTGAATGTTCTTGAGTTGTCTCGATTAGTGAATTGAACTCTGCAAAGGAGACATAGCTAGCAAAAGCCTCTTTGCCATTCAGCTGCAGAACAGAGAGATCTGGAAAGCGGAATGTTCCTCCACAGGCTGGTACAATGCTTAATATTGGAACTCAATGTACTTTAGCGATGCGTAATAGCGGATTGGGGCCTCTGATCAGAAAAGAGGTCATTGAGGGGTTGACCTCTTTTAGGTTTTGATAAGACAATCACCTTTGGTCTCCTCTTTCGGTTGTCGTATCAACCGAACACTGTCTGTCTGGAGAGTCGATTTGCAACGCAAAGCACGGAGTGCAGCTCACGTCTCACTCTATGAAATTCCATTTTCTTTAGCAAAAGCATCGCAACATCGCCGAGGCATAATTGACCTGAATCAGAATCAAGTGGCACCTGCGCCAATTTCTCGTCCATAGTCTCTGGGAGGATCTATCCTGCGACGGCCAACACCGAGGCTTCTGGCCTCTCAATCGCGGCACTTTCTGCACGAGCGCGTGAATTGTCTTTCTGGCCAAACCCTTCTTGCGCCATTTCTCGATCATGGAGAAAGAGTCAATGACTAGAAAAACACCAATATCCAGTTCGTCACCCCAATCGCACGCCCCGAGATTCCTTGTAATTTGTTTGTGCTCTATTCTTAGTCACCCGTATCAATCAAAGATCCGTGTTGCAATGTCTCTCAAGCGCCCTTGGCGGAGAACATCTATTCCATAAATAAAGACTGAATGACCTCCCTATCAATGAAAATGGCAGTTATTTTTCAATGCTCCTGTCGCCATGGGTACAGAAGACATGGAAATCCTCACACCACCCTGCGTAATTGTCTAAGTCGCACTAGCTGCAAATTTGACCTCCACATTTATATCTTTTCCGTTAGTTGAGTTCTGGAACTCATGTAAGAACAATTCCTCCGTCTCAATACCGAAGTTGCCAGTTGGTACGTTGGTTCGAGGTCCGGTGATTAGGATTACAGTGTGTTCGAGATCGAAAAATCTAGCACCGAGGGCATCTGGAGAATATCAGAAGACTGGCAAGAGTGGATAGTGGCAGGAGGCACCCAAGCGTACCGGCTTCATCTTCTGCTTCTGGGATGTCCTCTGCGGCTTTTCTCGTAAGTTTTTCTCGCAAGCTCATTCATGGTGTTACTCCACTGCCTTGGCTGAATAATTGAGTGATATTTTTCAAGCAATGAAGGTTGGCTAATGCGATGGTGAGCATTCGTTGTGGAAGACGGTTGCGACTTGGTGAAGGAATTGCAGCATCGAAAGCCTCGTTTGATTAATGTTTTGATATTTCGATGGTGAGAGGCAGATAAAGGAGCTCCTGGCAATGAATGCGGAATCTGCGATTAATAGAATGATTGCTGAAATCCGAATTTGGTAAGAGAAAGCACTTCTCAGGGGCGGCATGGACTCGAGGAAGGAGCGCACCTGTAATATTGGAGTTGGCTGTTTCATCATTTCAGCACACAAGCTTCACTATTGCGACTTCTGCTGCACCCTCCCTCTGCAAATTGAAGGGGAATATCACAACCAGTGATAGGCATGGAATGACGGTGGTATCGTATTCTTGGGGTTCTTGCGGTTCTTTACAAAGTACGCATAAAATTGAAGATTTGGGAGAGAGTAAAAATTGAAATCAAAGCCTCTTAGTTATCTAGTCAAAGAAGCATCAAAGCATAAACGACTGTGTGACGCAGATATGCCTACGGTCGGTGCAGGGGAAGGGCCACTGAAGGGCGGACAAGAAGAAAGGGGGTGCTGTTGGTGTAGAAAGGGGGACAAATTGTGCACCATGCCCCAAGGAAAGTGACAATAAGAATGGGCTTAAAAATTGATCCGTTCCTTCTATCTCATTTCCCAAGTCTCTGGGCAGGTCCTCAATATCAACAGTGTCGACTAGGCAACAAAGCATCGATCCATCCATTATAATTCCAAACTTCCACAGCAGACCAGCAATATTCTTGTAATGAATTCGTTTCCCAAGCTCACCATTTATAATTTGACCTTGCTTATTTGTTCCGGAACCTGTGTAACCAGCAAGCCTTTCTTCACCGCACTCTCCAAGTTCTCCAAGACCAAAAGTTCCATATTTCTCTATCAAATAATCAGCACAGCTCTTTCCACTTCCATTGATAAGAATTCGAACATACCTGTGTCTCCCAGGTACTCGTCCCAACATGCGGCAAAAGCACGACATTAGGATTGTTCAACAACCCTTCGTTGACCTTCGGCTCCTCTTCATACACATCCAACCCAGCACTAAACACCTTTCCCTCCTCCAACGCATCCACAAGCGCTTGTTCATCAATCAATTTCCCTCTCGCCGTATTAACAATGACAACACCCTGCTTCATCAACGCGAACTCCTTCTTACCAACCAGTCCCACGGTCTCTTTCGTCAACGAGCAGTTCAAACTAATAACATCACTGCTTTTCAATAATTCCTCGAAACTAACATATTTCGCATCTTTCTCGAGCTCGGGTGATAACTTGGATCGGTTGAAATATTGAATGCTCATCCCGAATGCTCGTGCTCGTGCAGCAACTTCTCGCCCAATACCACCCATGCCCACGATCCCGAGGACTTTTTGCTGAGGGTCGTACCCTAGTTGAGGGGAGGCACCACGCCAATTTGAAGAGCGGACGGCGGTATATGGGACGTGGATGCGGCGGAGGGCGCCGAGCATGAGGAAGATTGCAATATCTGCTGTGGCGGCGTTGACGGCTTGGGGAGTGTGGGCGACTTGGATGTCTGTTGGGGAAGAAGTTAGCCAATGGCGTTGGGAGTGGGGATGAGAGGGCAGACTTCGAGATGTACAGGCTGATACGTCAATGTTATCGTAGCCGGCGCCATTATGGCAGATATATTTCATTGAAGAGGGCAGTCTGGAGACAAGCTCGGCGTCGAAGGGGCCTGTCAGCTGGGACTTGTCAACACTTTCTCTCTCCAAAGCAGGATATGGAGAACTCACTGATGTTGACTCGTTACTTCTGTATATCGCAACAACGTCACTATAGCTTCCATCTTCGCAAGCTTTCAAAAATTCCTGTCTTGTGGCTCCGGTAAAAGTCTAGCACAAAATCAGCTAGAGAATATGCACAAAGAGACAGGATTCACACCTTCAGCTCAGCAAAAGCTCCACACTCCTCCCACTCCTTCTTCACATGTGTAATTGCACCGATCAGCAACACGGCAGGCTTCCCCATCTCTGCTGACGAAGCCGGAGAGGCTGTTCCTGGTGTTGGCTCGGATGAAGAGGCGCTCGACATGACGATTCAAATATCTCAAAACAAAAACTGGTTCTACCTGGCAGAAAATTCCAGAAGAACCGAAGTAAGAAATGGGGCAAGATGTTTTAAAGGAAAAGGAAAGTTGTCAGCCCCACGAGGAGAAAGTTAATCGTGGGGTACAAGTCCACCACGCATGTGTTCATTTACCTAGCTCCACGCCTTCTCCATGGATGCTTGCCTTCTCCGGCCAATACACGATGGAGGATATTTGCTCCCGTCGGCTGGAAAACGGGAATAGGAGAGGTAGATTTTGCTTTTTGCGGAATTGGGGAGGCAAAGGAAGGATTGTGAGGAATGGAGTCATTTGCCGCTGCTGTCGGCCTTTGACGGCAAATGCGGGGTACTGGACAAACCTTGTTCAAACTTCGCTGCTCCAACGAACTCTTCTGCTGCAACGAATCGAGGCCTCCCCCACTCTACCCGATGCTGGATCGGGGAATTTCCTCCGGAAAACTCAGCGGCTTGAATGGCCAGCATATTATTAGACCGGTCCAGTGCGTTGCTTCCGTTGGTAATCACCACCTCCCATTCTGAGGTGCATACAGATACGGACATGCAGGCTGATACATTTTAATGGCTAGACGATCTCTACCTCCGAGGCAAAGCGCCCGATGAGGCCAAACTCCTGCAGTATCATGCCGCTTCGGCGGGGAATCGTGTGTACACCCTGTGCCGATGAAGATTCCGTGGCAATTGTTGAAGGCGAAGGAGGTTTCTCGCTTCCGGATGGAGAATGCGCAGTATATTTCTCTGCTATATGTGTTGCTTGAAATTACAAATATGTAAGTTCTGTTCTGTTTTTTGGCAGGAGTGGTGCTGATATTCTAGTCTTATTTTTAGAAGCCCGTAACGAACCAAGAAAACCGGCACCCAAACCCGAAGACTTTGAGGAACTGAAACAGACATCGGAGACACAAGAGAGCTCGAAATTACACTCCCATCGACGGATCATGGGCCACACGTTGAAGGAAATAGCGTGCTCAGCTTCCTCGCAAACATTTCCCTCGAGCTTGGCATTGTCCATTGAATGAAGTCAAAGCTATTCTGTTAATATATTTCGGTATATCCACCCACCCTTTGGGTACCCTAGCCGAATCTTCATAGCTCGTGTTACTTTCCACAAATACGCTACCAAAGCCACATCGGACATCGCGGGAGAGTGGGAACAAATCTGTTGTCTGCTTACCACCAGCGGGATCGTAGCCTGCCATCCCGTTGCTCTCCAGCGAATCTACTCGTCAGATAAATATAGGACAGCTTCTGTGATCGATTTGTTTCGCCTTTTAGCCAACCGCTGCCATTCAGTGCCTCAAATCAAAAGTTCGGTCCAAGATACTTTGTCACAATAAGACTCAAGGATGATTCCAGGGGTTCTCGGAGGGACTACTGAGCGGGGTTTCCAATCCGGCGTTGATGCGGGTAGCAGGTACAACAGCCTGCGAGACGCTGAATACAGGTCACTCTCTTAACGCGTAAGCCGGCCGACATTTCACAAGAACACCTTACTCCTAGATGGTACCACCTGGCCCTCTCCCTCTCGCGACTTCAGCTAGCATAGTCCAGTGGCACATAAGATCCCCTCATGATGGCTTCGATTTCGGAGATACATGACCACGACACCTGGGGGAGGACATCCCTCGGACGCTTCAATCTCCGGCGCTCTTCATGGCGTAGGAAAGACGAGTTCACATGATGGGTCGTTGGCGAACGGAATGATGGCAATATATTGTGTATATTACTCGGCAAGGATATAGAGCGCGGAGGTCTCGCGATGGGTGTGTGAGAATAGCGTCACATGTATCCGCCCGTCGGACCTTCTAACTTCAGCTTCGAAAATCATAAATCTGAGTAAGGATCTGTTCACCGTTCGATATCGCGATCCTCGTTATTGATCGGCGTCCATTGTTCACTTGTGATAGATTGAAGCTGTAACGGTAACGCAGGAAAGGTTGCGGAATCCGCGCTATATATATGAAGCAACAGGACTTCTTAACCTTCTTGAGCCAAAGTGAGAATCCCAAAAGTACGAAAAAAGGGAAATGAAATTGCACTCGTCTATCGAAAACAAATCGGCACTCTGCACCATCCGCCGTCGTTTTGGACTTCAATAACCCGAATTTGCGGAAGAGGAGGCCCAGCATGAAGAACCATGCAGTGTTGTTAATGGGGGAGAGTCGAGTGGGAAAGAGTTCGACCATCGCACGAGTGCTTCCCCCTTCCCCCCTCCGCCTCCCATCCACAATCGTTAACTGATGACTGACGGATGAAACAAAACTGCTAAAATCTCTCCCCCTACTTCTACGACCCAGGCTGGGATCGCGATAGCCAAGAAATAACCATCAACGACGAAACACACAAAATCGAGCTCGAAGACCTCAGGATCTCCATCACTTTAGACTAGCTATCCGATCTCGACGATCGTGTCATCCAAACAGCTGAAGACTTTATGTTCGTTTACGACGTTACCTCCAAAGCCTCGTTCGACAACATCAAAGCTACCACTCCGAGATTCGAAGGGCAGGAAGATCAAGTAGACCGGTGGTCATTGTGGGGAATAAATGCGATGATGTTGACGAGCGGGAAGTTGTCGAGGCCGCCGGCCGTCAATTGGCAAAACACTTGAGATGCAAGTCTGTGGAAGTGAGTGCGAGGAATGGAACTGGATTGGGTGAGCTAATTCTCAACCTCGCGACGGGCATTGGTAGATTGAAGAGGAAAAAGACAAAGCTAGCGACGAACATGAACTTTTAGAACCTGGGGAAAGCATTACTGGATGTTTTAGAGAGGGTTGATAAAGAGTTGGCTATCCCGGTGCACAGAACTTGAGAGGATCTCCGCTCGCTCAGATGCCAGGAAGCCGGGGAGCGGCTTGGATACTGAGGTTAAGAGGAAGACACATTGGAGCCATGAATATTCAGACCGATCAAGGATCTGCGTCCCAACGACCACGACAGAAACAGAACTGCTGGGCGATCTCCTGTTCAATTCCGAGGAAGTCTTTCACCGAACCTCCTCGAGGAGAACAGACTTCAACCTTAGTAGCAAGCGGAGATCCAGGCGAGCACTCATTATGACGGAACAACAATAATCTGAGCTTCGTGGCCACTACTTCAACCATGTCACTTCCGACAGAAGCTTCCTGCGCCATCGCCTACGACTTGGAGCTACATGTACACGAGTGAGTTTGTCCTGGTTAAATCAAGTTCGAGGGCGGAAGCTGCCCTAAAAAAAAGAATTGCAGCACAGCCAGCCTTGAATACCAGTCGCTGAAGATTTGACCCTTGCTGTCAGCAGAGGACGTGTTGTCAACTTATGATGGGAAAGGGCTCGGCGAAACCACCACTGCCTCTTGAATCACATCGAGACTAGAGATCTCCCCAACATCTCTCGTGCATTGCTCTCCGAATTGTTTATTCTCCATAGCGAATTGACCTCATACCACTTTCGCTCTCTGTGCAGTTCTTCGGCTCTCCGTTCGAGGAGGGAACCCCCCCCCAACCTCCTTCAAACACATTGACATAGAACCAGCAGCCCCTGGAGCAAGTTATCAAGGAGTTGTGCCGTCAAAACGGTGTCAGCATTTCCAACAGCGACTTGTCAGGCTCTGCGATCTATGGAAATAGACCAACTCAACCCTCCCGCCATCATCGCCCACAACAAATCAACAGACCAGATTCCGGAGTGATCGGCTTTGACGAAGGAAGTGGACGCCTGGCGAAGTCCATCACATTTCGCCTACCAGCCCTCACACAGAACGCTGTCGAACCTACTATCCAACATGCTAAGCGTCCTCCTCCAGGTCTCTCGTTCCCGCTCTCCGACTTGTCCACGATTCGTAGCTAGTTTGCTTCGAATACTCTCATTCGGACTCCTAGCACGTCCCTGCTTGCGTCCTTCCCCAATTCAGCTCTGACCTCTGCGCCAATTTCCTCTGTCGAGCCACGCTAGTTCTCCGTTCTCCAACAACGGCCCCTTCGTCTCGCCCTATATTACAGAAGTAGATGAGGAGTAAAATGATAATATTTGTTGCGCAGTTGATGCAATAATCATGCCACCACCAACATCCACACCGCCCATAACCCAAATTTGATCATCGAGAGCATCGAATATACACAACGTTCTTTCATCTAGCACAACAGTGGCGTGGATCTTGCACAGCAATTACATCGCGTTCACTGTCACTTGCCCGTATTTGCAGCTGGCATCTACGATATCTGCCTCTCTTTGCATCCATTGCAGCTTTCCCTACAACTTTGCGTTATCAATTTTATCATGAGGAAATGAAATTACGATTTTTGAGTCTGAGCACATAGATATTTGTAGTGCTTCACCATGTTCGAACCTGATGGTCCCACCCTCAATCATTCCGCACCAGACTGTACGTTTTTCAAGCGGCCAAAACCACATCTAATGTCTTCTTAGAAATGATTGTCCTACTGATTTGAAGTACCTCCTTCTCTCGCGATATTTGAACGTCACTCCGAATTTATTTAATTTCACAAGCCGATAGCGCCCTCGACGGAGTAATCCTCAAAGCTGGGCTGGTCCAGGATTACTACCTGGACGCGACATCTCAGATTTTCGAGCACTTGTATCTGGCTTCGCCCTCTGACGAGCGCAGATTGTTAAAGTGGGTTACCAACATACCTGGGATCCAAAACTGTTCAACTATCCTCAAGTCTTTTCCCAGAGCCTCCAAAGGAGCAACTGCACTTCCGCTCGCCCACCAATTGCCTCAATGGCTCAATGGTGTCACTTGAAAGCTGCCTAATTTGAACGTGGTCATGCATCTACAATCCTCCCTTCCCCGGGTCCAAATATGCAAGCTCCGGTTGATAGCACTCGTAAGTTCACTTGTAACTATATCATAAACTGCTTAATTAATAATTTGTCGCCGTCTTTAAGTACCGGTAGTG